ATGCTGTTTACATACAGTGGCTAAAACTCCTGAATGGCTTTCCCAAAAAATTCTAAGGCCCAAATATTCCCCGTTAGATAGTTTTAGTTGAAAATACGCAGCCATCGTCTCCGTACCGCAGATGTAGTGTGCTCCCGCCTTAGGCGAGTGTTTTGTCATGGGCAAGGTTTCGCTCAACATGTTTTCTCCCAGTGGAAGTTTTATGACACTTTCTGATATGTTTCGACTTACCGCCTTATTTAAAACACCGTTTACGCTCATCACACTTGCTTATAGGCGCAATTCAGGATAATTTTGAGTTCATATTTTTGAGATGAAAAGCGAAAGTGTTGGTGAAGAGAAGTGCATCGGTGGCGAAGAAAGCGTAAAAATCGGCGTGTTCAGAGAAACATAGGACAAGAAAAGTAGTAAAGTTAGGGGCTGGCTGTTCAAATGTGCGCGCCACTGCATACAGCTGGCTGCAGTGAGCTGCCCGCGTGCATGGTATGGGTTCCGGTGCGCAAAGTACAACCTCTCCAGTTTCTTCAAAGCTTGAAAATTCATCCGCCTTGGATTTGCACGTCGGCAAAGCAGGTAACCTTGCAAACTGTAGGATGAACTCTACAGAGCTGACCTAAGGCTGCTGGATCGGTCTCTGGGAATACCTGTGCTACGGGGCCAATTTTTCGCCAACTCCTATCGCTACTCCTTCACACTGCTGAGGGGCGATCTTCTCGGCATGGTTCCAGTTATCTCCCTCCGCTGCTGTAGGTTATCTTCTGACTCCTTTTTTGGCTTTTGGCTAAGAAGGTGGTGAAAACTGCTTGGTCGTGGGCTATAGCCCAATCGAGGACTCTCTTCTCATTCCTGGCTAGACGCTCCTGACCCCAACAGCTCTACCTCCGTCATCTGTTCCAGGCTCCTCCGTTCACCGCTGGTCGGTCACCCGCTGCGGCCATTATCCGGAACTGACACGATGACATCGTCAAGCCTGAAAGAACTCACCTTTTATTCGTTTTTGATACAACCAGCTTGTGGTGCGTAGACGACTATCCAGTACTTCTGGTCCGGGTTCATCCTCATTCACCTCCACGTGATTCGATCACTGGCTCTATTGACAGCAGAGTCGGAGTTGTTGATGAACTAACGAGGAGAAACTTCATAGGTCCATCGTTCTCGATGCCCCTTTTACCCCGGGCAGGCGCAGTTTTCCGAAGGCGCCGGCTATTTGCTGAACAATTGTCAATTTTTCAGATTTTGACAGGCGGAATTTAGCTATTAGATGAGCCAAGGAACAACCTTTCTTTGTGCTGTCCTTTCTACCTGGCTTGTGCGTCTGGAAATCGGAAATCTGACGAGCAATCGACTATGAGCGCAGCCATTTAGCAAGGTCGGGAGTTTCCGAATTACAGAGGTGCGAGGGCGAGTCCAAAGTGCTAACCCTCCCTATTGTCTATTCCCTATGCCAAGGTTGGATCCTGAAACCGCGTCGTACTTTCTTGTGGTGACACATAAGCCAAGACCTCTGTCGACAGGATCCCGTCGAGACATCAAGTGATGAATCTGACGGCAGATTTCAAACTCCTCAGGGTCGGAGGATCTACTTGTACACCGATTCGCGATTGATGCGATTTAATGTCCAATTGATGCTCATTATATGTTTTATATCGCAACTATATTCTCTTTTCGTTTGCGGTACAGAAACAGTTCTGTCACTCTTGCTCTCTTAGCCATAAAATGTTTCTGTACCGCGAAAGGATAGCGAATATGGTTGCCGATATAATATAATGGGCTTCATTTAGAAATCAAACTCTAAAAACTCTCAGAGTTCTTAGAGTTTAATGTCTTCCACTGATATAATATAATGGGCCTCATTTAGACATTAAACTCTAAAAACTTTTTGAGTTCTCAGAGTTTAATGTCTAATTGATGCCCACTGTATTGTATCGGCAACCATATTCGGTAATATTTTGCGGTACAGAATCATTTTATGGCTAAATGAGAAAGAATGACAGAAAGAATCTTAGTTCCAAATTTGCGGTCTGGATCAACTCTCACCAGCAGTTCTTTTCTTTTCACTGTGGCTTGTCATCCAGGCGAGTGTGTCAACAAGTAGCTGATGGTAGAGAGGCTTGCACCTAGAAATGGCGTAGCGGAAAATCATTGAGCCCACAGAAAGTGGAGGGAAAACCCGAATCACTGATACATGTGCTTGTTTCGCTTTCATAACACAAAAGCTGGACTCTTGCAAAATTCTAATCCTCACATTACCAATCCACAGTCTTCTGTCATCCCTAATGGGTATCGGGAAGGGTTTTCTAGAAGTTCTCCTTGTATTCTTCTAGTATCAAGAGTGGTAGTCAATATCCCCAAAAGGAGGGATAGGGTTGTGAGATCGTTGACCGCTTGCGCACTCCTGATGGTAGTGTGTAGAATTGCTTATACAGGATTTTCCGAAATGATGGACCCCTTTTCATTTCAGCGTATTTCAGAATTTCAAGTTGAAGAAACTATGTGCAAAAGAAAATTACAGTCACCTTTCAGAATATCCCCCATTAGGAGTAGTAGAACTTGCTTGGAGAAGTTCGAGAACCTGCCCAGAGCTTGTTCTCGAACTTCTCGAATGTTGCACTCAGTCTGTAACCCTCCTCCAGCTCTTCTAGCCTTTCTTGAGCATTGCTTGCAAGGAATCCAAACTGGAATTGCTACTTCGTTAGATCCTCTTTTAATCAGGGACTATACAGGAGGGCCAAGTGGCTCAAGATCGATAGCAGGATGGTCATCTCTCCATACTGATGAAGTCGAGCAGCTCGCGTCACTACTCTCGTCTCTTAAGAGCTTGGCTCGGTGGGCTAGAGTACCATCCTCCAGGAATACCGCTGGCTGTTCAGTTCAGCAAGTAGGGTCGAATGAGTGCTTAATTATATAATATACCAGTATGCTTTCGAAGTACACGTTTTTGACAATTTCACGCCGGTGCAGACTAGTACAACGGCGTCTTATCATTGACCGTGGCTCCCTCCATAAACTTCATTATGCTGTTCTTATAACAACTATTTTGTGAAAGATTACACTATCGGTGTTCCTATTCAGACCACCATCACTCTATTTTTTGAAGATTGCTTTTGTCGTGGAAAGTTTCCTTGTCGAAGGAAAATATCATGGTGTGCGTGACCCACGATAAATATGGCAACGAAGGTTCAGCTTGACAGTCCGCCACATCGAGAACTCATTACTGCTCAGCTGTCTTCCTTTCCATGCGTCGCCCAGGATTGCGATGAACTCGCGAACGAACTATATTAATGATCCAATCTTCTCAAACAGTAGCCTTTTAGTTTGCCTTTGATTGGTTCCGCTTCCAGATGTCTAATGAAAGCCTTCTCTGCCGTTAGTATTGGAATCACTTGAAAAATTTCACTATATCCTTCCGCCTCTTGCATTCAAATGTTTGCAAGTGGCATTGGATGAGCCTTCACCTTCTAGAAGGTGGTCCCACTCAAGTAATTATGCATATTGCAGGAAAACCTAGTTGTGCAGCTGAATAATAGCGAATGGAGCGAAATTATTGGACTATTTCTGCCTTTGAAGTTCCTGATTTTTGGCTCCCAGGATTTTGAGAAACCTTGTACAACCAAAGTGCGTTCCGGAGAAAACTTAGCTCTGAGTTTCCGCATAAAACATCTTCTGGTACTACTAATTTGATAGCGCGATTGTTGTGTAGTTGTGCAATAATTGATGGGTACGTAAGATGTTCATAGGGCAATTTAATACGAATTTTTCAAAGCAGGAGATTTTCTGAACGGCACGGGAAGATAAGCCTATCACATTTGCCGTTCTTGCGGTTTTGGGTGCGCAAGTTAGAGGTCACTTCGCACCTCGGCGCGTGGCAACTTTCATCAACTGTGGGAACTCCATGGTTGTTATGTTGTCCGTGTCTCGTTATCGAAGGTATAAAGTTAATAAATGAAGGAAATAGCATCGGTAAGAAAGTGAAGCGTCGCGGAAAAAGAGGGTTTCCGAAGGAGAAATTTAGATCCACTCCGTAACAAGTGTTTCACCTTTAAACAGAATGATTTGACCCATTAAACTTGCCGTTCTAAATTTGTAATCAAAATCAATCAATGAGCGGATACTTACTTTACTTTATTCCAACTTTCACTTTTCACCTGCATACGAAAATTATACTCTGCTCCAGTAATTTAGAATTCCTTCATCTCAGAACACTGATTTCTCCTAATTTCTCTCATATTTCTTTGCTTACTCATTAATGCTGTTTTCATCGGTTACTCCTCTTTTAGTCGCTTGAAAAATCTACAGATAACAAAGTAACCATGTGTTTTTGCAGTTAAAGACAGAGTTCACGATAAGAATGGTTCCTGGGTTCTCCCCCTAGGAATATCCAGTGGCCCCTAAGGGTAACAGGAAGGACGCTGTCGAGTCCCAAAACGCAACAGCTAGGGCCCAGTGGGAGCCCGAACTCCCCCCCCCCCCCTCGATCGATGTCACGTTCATCAACCTTCATCGGCTACTAAACAATTCGTCGAAGTTGATATCACCCTTCCCGAAGAAATAGAGCAATGAGACATTCGTAGCAAGATCTCGGATTCGCAAAGAGCCGTCAAGCATTCTCGGCTTGACCGAAATTCACCCTTTCCGCCTCACAAGATCAGAAGTGAAAACCCTGTTATGTCGAAATGCTTGCTCGAAATTTCTTCAGGAAAACACTAATATGAAGTCGCTCTTTACAAGAAAACAAAAAGATCTCTGATCTAGACTCACAATCCCTCACGTGTTGGACCCCTCACTAGGAAAAGAAATTACGAAAATGACACGTATTTGATGTTTGTTTCTGAGATAATTTGCCTTTGTCGAGATTAACACTCGAAAGCACATGCGACAGCACACGCCGTTCTGAATAGTCACTGCAACTTGTACGATGCATTTTACGCGAGTTAACGAATATCTGTCCCTCTAAATTTCTGATTTTCAGGCTACCTCTAATCGTAAAGTTCCTGCTCGGAATGGTATTAATCGCAATCAGTGAAATATTTAGCGCACTTATCAGCAATTTCGGACCACGATGCTTACAGCGACGGAAGAGGATTGAGGGCCAGGTGGGTATACGGGCTTGATTCTACTTCCCTGTACTTTCCTAAACGAGTATATAAATTTTGAGGTAGTGCTAATAACCGGCTCTGGTAATGGTCTCGGTCGATTAATTGCTTTGAATTTTGCTACATGTGGATGCAGGCTAGTGTTGTGGGATATTGATGAGAAAAGCAACGCAGAAACGAAACAAATGTGTGAGGATTTTGGTGCAGAGGTAAGTACACAAACGGAAATTTTGGCTTTTACCTCTGTGCTTTTGGTATTTTTTATCTTCAAAAAGTTAGCCCGCCTCAGAAGCCTGGAAGCGTTCTCAAGCTTCTCGTGCACTATTACATCTATGACGCTTGACGCAGTCTGACTATCAACTAGTAGTAACTTAGGCCGGACTTCTAGGAGGTCACTCACTTTAATTCTTCTAAACGGATTTGATCCTCACTAGGGACCTTTATGCATGGAAAAATTGAGGGGATTGTGCATATAGTAATGCGATTTCTGACCAACTGGTGCTTAATGTTACCTCTTTGAGTTGGCTAAGGGGGCGCCATCGGCTAGTGAAGTGAGTGACCTGCTGGGATTTCTGTTAACTTTTTTTACGAGTACTTCATTGAAGAAAATCTTTGGAGTTGTCAATCACTTAATCCACAGGGTGAGACGAAATAATGGAATCAAAGCTTGGCTGCACTATGCCCAATGACTGGGGATCTTTTTCATTTAGTTCTCTTTTTTCGTTTCAATCTGGTTGTCTGTAAACGTGCCCTCCTTTTAATACAAAACTTCTGCTTTCTTCGTGAAGGTGAAGTCATCTCTGGTTGTTTGCATGTATCATGGATTATTATTTCAAAGACTACAGCTGGATTAATGGAACAGGAAAGCATTCGCGACCATTTGGAAAGTGATAGTATTATTTTTTAGCTTTTGGAGCTATTTTCAAAAATTGGGGCAGCGATCCGTGTTTCGATCCGACACCGTTACCCCAGAGAAGTGTCAGAAATGTTCATATCTACGAGTTCGTTGAGTATTATCATGAAGAATCGCTCAAAACTAGAAACTGATGTAAAACGAACTATTTGGTAGCAGCGGAAAGGTCACTTCTTATGTCACTAGTATTTGTGCAGCTCTAAGCTCCGGTACTCTTGTGGCCCGAGGAAAGCGCGGCTATTCTTTTTCCACCACTCACATGGGTCAGCGCATAACTGAGAGATGCACTTGTATGTGAAATCTGATTTGTCTAAAAATTGCTCACGTGCTCACATAGGGGATTGGAAGAGCGTGCTAATTGTAGATAAAGCAGGAGATATCAGCTAGCTCGATACCACATACTGATATAATGTATTTCTGCATTAATAGCTATTGAAAATGCGAAATAGACCTCCTTGTAAATCACCGAGGTAATGCTGAGTTAAAATCCACTCATGCTCCCTTTACTCCCTTCCTTTCTCCGGTTTCTCAGAATAGGTGAAGTGTTGGACGGTACGACTCATTGTCAGTAATGCCTACATAGAGTGGTTATTGGGTAGCTCTCTCCTTGTGAATCATTGGAAAATGGTAAGGTGCCAAAAGTGAGGAAATGTGTTGGACTAACATTAGCTCTGGAACTCGACTCTTTATACGTTTTTTAGTAGGTTCGAAAAAAAAAAAACTTCTTTTCAATCCGTTTGCGGTTTTCCAGGTCGTGATAGATTAGTGTCAAAAAAAAGGGGGAATAATCAACCATATCCAATGTTTGAGAATTTTTTTTTGGAAAAACTTAAAATATTACAATATCTTCCCTGGAAAACAGTCTTTCAGGCTCACGTATTCCGAGTAGATATGTCACAGCGTCAGGAAATATACGCAGCCGCAGATCGGGTGATGGCCGAAATCGGAGACGTCGATATTCTTATAAATAATGCAGGAATGCTTCGCGATCCTGGGGATTTTCTGTGTAAATCTGATGACTTCATCGAGAAGACCGTTCAAGTCAATATGTTAGCGCATATGTGGGTAGGTGAAATAAAGTAGCCTGTAAACATTCGGAGAAGTACTCGCTCATTACAGATGGCGAAAGCATTTCTTCCCCGTATGATCGAAAGGAGATCTGGGCACATCGTCTGCGTTTGCTCCTTGTCAGCAATTGTAGGAGCCAGAGGTGGGTTACTGCGCTCTTGTAATATGGCTTGGTTGATCATGACCGTAGATCTGCGAGCTCGAATCACTCGAACTGTCATTAATGTCAATGCTCCAACATCAGTGATAACGAACTCGAGAAACTTCCAGATATCGTCGACTACTCGGCTTCGAAATTCGGTGCCTTCGGATTTCAGGTAAGTGATGTGCTAAATCTTGAGAAAAAGGGGCTGAAGAAGTATTGCGCGAACACCTTACTATATATAACGCGCTGAGTGTGTGTATGTGTATATATATACAGGGTGCGCCTTGAATATGATAACAATTTTCGGACGTACGTAATTTTCTTGCTTGGAAGGTTTTCCTAAATCTGCACCTTTCCTTGTGTCTATGATATAGCTCAGCCCACATATCTACTTTGGTGCTCTCAATTCGTCAGATTTTGAAAAACGGTGGATTCTCGCAGGTAACCACCGTCCCGTCTTTGCGCGCATTTGGTGAGTCCTTTTCCGGGATCGCTCCTCGTTTCAACATTTCCCACATGACAGTCTCTTGAATTGCGATGCGTAGACAGGTCAACGACAACCCTCAAAACTGTCATCTTGTCTCATATATGAACCCTTACCGAATACAGTTGCTTGGGAAGGAGTACGCTGCGGAACCTGCAGAAACACAAGAAATTACTGCCAATTTGTTTGTTTATTCTATTCCGATGGGAAGAGTTCACCCCGAGTAAACACAATTCTATCCTGATAGGATTTGAAAGTCTTATAAGCTTCTAGGAAGCTCTCGAAAATGAAACTTATTCGAAGAAAAGACGAAACATCAACTTCACGACCATATGTCCATCATTTACGCAAACCCAGATGATTAGCGAGATATCGTGAGTTCTTTAACAATTTTACGAACAAATGATTTTCAAAAGGTTTGTTTATTACAGACTTTCTTCAGCGATAACACTTCTCAAACCCGAAATTGTAGCCGAGGAAATCTTCGACGCTATACTCACCAATAAACGGATACTACTACTTCCTAAAAGTGCTTACACACTTTATGCTTTGAAAGGGTGAGTGAGGCTACCACAGCAGTGGAACAGGGTTCGAGCTTCATCTCTACTTTTTCCGCTTTCCTGTTGCATCAAAGCAAAAAATGATGGTTTCGAACTTCATTAGCAGGCCACTCTGTCAGACTGCATCGTCGGGGTGGTCTTTCCACATTACGCTGCTATCAAAAGTCCATCACATGCATCACATGCAATCTTGCTCATTGTTTCATAAAACAGCCTGCTGTTCTCCTTTTTTCTGGTTCTTCAGAAAGTCGTGTAGGAGAAGGAAAAGATATGAGTAATCTGAATGCACTGGCGAGATTATCGCTGCAAGAGCTCCATCGTTGCAAAAATTCTCTGAAGCTCATGTTTTGAAGAAGCAAAAAAGTAACTGGTATGCATAAGCACTTGCTTAAGTCGTGCATTCGTGAATTTCTAACTTACGAGATACGCAATCAACAGAGGGAAACAATATGATTCTATCCTCACCTGACAATTGTGAACGTCAAAGCTCAGGTTAGAGAAGCAGTGGGACTGTAAGCAATAGGACTCGCTATTATTAATGCTAACTTCCTGCATCTGCATGTCCATATTCATCTGTCCAAATGCTATGCACGTACTCATGTGTAAGCCCTTGTCATCGAAGCTATCGTTGATGCGGTGAGCATTTCCAATTATATGTTCTCTTTACATTTAACATCACTGAACTCATCAGTCTCATTATGTTTAGAATGCATTAACCCATTGGCGACCGCGCCTTTTCAGCGTGTCTGGCGTGTGGGACCGAGCGCGCTTTTAGTGGGCTGCTGCTGTGGCCCGCTGGCTGGCCACACGGTCCTAGGAACAAGTAAATTTTTTCGTAAGCATTTCTAGCCGACAAAAAAGTTTTTTTTAAATGTGGCATGTAAAGGTTATAAGTCATACACACTATTTAGAGCTACGTTATGGCATCTAATGTTGATTGTTCAAAGGGGGTGAAAGTTTTTACCAAATCATTTCCAAATGCGACTCTGTCTAGACACTAGGAAGCGGACAAGATGAGA